GGGCCGCTCGCTGACTGAGAGAAAGCAGGAAAACATATTTCACCATCACTTGCTGTCAAATTTAAACACACATCAGATCTGCTTTGGTTGATCTTACATAGCTTCAAACGATGCCGTGTAGCTAGTCCTGTCGAAAGCCTAATTAATTCAGGCCTCCCACAGCTTTACAATGTGACACTACACGTTGGCTCGTTGCCTGAACTGAGCATTGGTTGTCTGCAAAAACACAATGTAACTCAATATTCGTTGCATCAGCTATCCGCGGAAAATACTCAGAAACATAAAGCAGCCCCAGGGGCTGTCTCTGCTGTTCTTGTGACTTATTTGTTAGGAAACAAAGCCTGTGATGAGCGATGGTGGTGATGATGATGATGATGAGTCAGAAGTCTTTCTGAAGTGCTGAGCAGGACGTTTCCAGCAATCAGTGCCAGCAATGAGCTTTGTTTGTTCAGATGATCAGAAACATCCTGAGCTGCCATTCAGTAAAGACTGTGGTAAGCTCCTGACACCAGATAACAAATGAACAGATGAAGGCACGAGGGCAGTCCAGAATCTATACATTTCAGTATAGATTCAGTAAATATGGTTAGTATACTGCAGTTATGGGGTGGCTGTAGCTCAGAAGGTAGAGCAGGTCATCTACTGATCGTAAGGTTAGTGGTTCGATCCCTGGCTCCAGTCTACATGTTAGGTAGAAACAGTACTTGTGTGATTGGATGAATGTGGCATGTTGTATAGAGCACTTTGAATACTCCAGGAGAGTAGAAAAGTGCTATATAAGAATCAGTCCATTTACCAATACTTATTCAAAATCATAATATACATTTCTACTAAAACAGACATTACATTAAATGAGAAATGCAGACCGGCAACTAACAGTGAGCAATAAGGATATCCTCAGCTAAGCATTTTATATAATAGTACAATAAGTAGAGCAAAGTCAGGTTTTATAAATTCCCCACGGATACAGAAACAAAAACAAAACAACCTTGTAAACCGGATGTGTAAAAGTGAGTTGACTTACCTATCCATTCACTAATCTCTCAGTTTAGTTTTATTCTTTATTTTTACCAGGACCATGCATAACAAAAGTGACTCTCATAACAACAACATTTGCTACTACCTAATTTCAGACCCTAGGCAGGCACAGCTTTTCACAAAGCTAGGTCGCTGGATAACCCTCGTGCAGCCAGTTAGCATAAATGAAATGACACAGATAAATATATATATTTCTGTTTTGTACAAAGCTTATGTATTTTGGTTCAAATGATCCTTATATCAGTGTATGAAATAGTCTAATCACAAACAGTACAGCAGAAGTCTACTTTTATTTATGTCTGTTGCACATATAATGGCGCAAATGTATAAATTAGATGGTTGGCAAAACTTAAGATGGAAAAGAGAAATAAATAAAAACATACCTGATGCAGAAACTCCCTTTTTTCTTTTTTTCAGTGACAAGACTTCAGATGAAATTCCTCCCTCTCCTCCCACATCCTGCCACTCTTCCTCTCAACCTCCGAACCAACCAGGCCACAACAGTGTTTCGGTCATTATTAACACCATGTTTTCGTCATCTTACTCATATTTTGAAAAGAAGTTGGCAAAAGTTTTAATCCACCTGCACCAAACTGCATTAGCAACATTCAGTTTCTCTTGTCATTAGTGCCAACAGCTAACCGTGCTAACGTTGGGTTTGCCTGCTAGCGGCACTCCTGCAGTAATGCAGTGGGAGAGGAGGGCAGCTGTCCTCCTGTCTCCAAGGCTGTCATACAAACATTGCTGGAGAACTGCATCTATCAATAGCCACAAAGGAGAAAAACAGCTGTGTGCAGCAGCAGCACTTTGGTAATGTGTTTGCACTATACAATATAAAATATGTATCATGGACCTCATTGGATATTGATAATTTCCACTCCCAAAAGAGCAGAGACAGGCCTTATTTTGCTTGTTTATGCTGGTGAATTTGAGATCAAAACACAAAACAGTGATAAAAACCTACTTTGATTTCATAATATTTATTATAGGCACACAGAATATGTAAGATATATCTCATAAAAATATCCCACAATTGAATGTATATATCCTAAAGTATCATCAGCACAGTGAAATGATTGGTTCCTTTCCATTAACATATATTGCTCTGTGTGTTATGTTTTCATGCTGGCTTCTTAATCCTGATGAAGGCCATGTGGTGAAACATATCAGCTTGTTAAAGTGCAGATGCTTCTAGCAAGGCACTTGGCATTGCCAAGTTGTTTATATCTTTGGCTTAGACAGTCTATTTCTGTGACATAAAATAATCAGCTTGGCTTCACAGCAAATCTGCTCTGGTGTCATTAAATGTAAACACTCTGCTTTACACTTGCTTAGTAACTGCTGCTTAGTGATTCTGAAAGTTTAGTTTTAGGCAGTCTGTGAAAGGCCACCTCTTGCCCACTTTATTGCTCTGATGTACGATTTCCATTGGAACGGCTAACTGTAGGAGACGAACGGCAGCAGTGAGAAAGTACAGATGTCAGTTTATATGCACCAATAAATTGGTCTGCCTCTGCTAGCCAGTGAATCTGGCACTGTCATAGCAGTGTCAGAGATGTCATTATCACTCACCTTCATGGCTCTGGGTGGCTGCCAGGGAAACTGTTTAGACAGAGGTGTCAAAGTTACGCGAGTTTTCAGTAGATACTGATCTTTCTGCAAATTTCATTGTCTCTCACCTTCACATTTGTCATTTGTCACCAGAGCGGCGTCGTCCTCGGCAAAGAGGACTTTCAAACCGAGGACTGAATCTAACACAAGAGACGGCTGCAAAAGCCCCAGCAGGAGCTGCAATGTGTGAAAGGATGACAATGACCTTCGACAAGCAACGGTGTCAACACATTACAATCGACAGAATAGTTGAGAAAGTGTGAAAGGAGGTGTAAATGAAAAGCCCTATTAAACCAGTGCTATGTGGGCATGGTGTGATGCCGCTGCAAAGACATATTTCCTCTCAGTTGGATTTGTTTTGTGAATGCGGTGCTTGATGGTCAGTATATTACATGATTGAAGGCTATTAGGAACTGCACTCAGAAAAGGAAATTATTTCTTTTTGTCAGTAATGCACCTTTATCATAACATCGCAATGACTGACTCGGCTCAGAAAGCATATGTGCGACCTGGTGTGCTTTATATCCACCAGAAAAAAGTTAGTCATTTAGAGATTACTTCATTAACAACACTCAGTGTCATTTCTTCGATTTAAATTGAGTTTTTTGATTTTTTTATTCTTGCTTTGCACAGTTTGATAAGTGAAAAACAGTAACAACAATATAACGATATAGTTAGTGATATATTTAACTCTGACTTCAGAACTGCCGCAGGGTCAACAAGGTGCCAGAAATATTCTTCAGAGATTTTGATTCATAGTCACGTGACATCACCTCGTGGTTACTGCAGATTTGGCTGCACATCCATAATATAAATCTCTTGTCCCAACACATCCCAAAGCTGTAAACTCGTTATCATGTTCAAAACCAGTTTAAGATGGCTTGAGCTTTGTGATGTGGTGTGTTATCCTGCTGGAAGCAGCCATCAAAAGATGGATACACTGTGGTTGCAAAGGGATGATTAGCAACAAAACTCAGGCCGTGGCTTTAGACAATGCTCATCATTTTGCCCTAAAGGTCTAAAGTGTACTAAGAAAATACCTCCCACACCATTACACCACCACAACCCCGAACCACTGATACAAGATAAGCAACATGAAAGCATGAATCCAGCCTATGTCAAATTCTGACCCTACCATCAGTGTCGTGGCAGAAATCAAGACTCATGAGACCAAGCAAACTTTTTCCATCTCCTTATGTCCAATTTTGATGAGCCCATGTGAAATGCAGCTTTAGTTTCCAGTTCTTAGCTGACAGAAATGTTACCCAGGGTGGTCTGCTACTGAAGCCCATCTGCTTCAAAGGTTTAGAGATGCTCTACTGCTTGCCTTGGTTCTATCAGCTCAAAGTAGCCTGGTTGATCTTGAGTTAACAAGGTATTATTGATAGGGATTACAAAGAAAGTGCATATTTCTCCTATACTGGCGTCTCCCCTCTTCTTCTCTTGGCTCCCTGTTAAATTCAGAATTGAATTCAAAATCCTTCTGCTCACATATTAGGACTTGACTTATGAGGCCCCATCTTATCCTAAAAATCTCATCGTACCGTATCACCCCAATAGAGCACTTCGCTCTCAGACTGCTGGCTTACTTGTGCTTCCTGAGGGGATTTAAAAGTAAAATGAGAAGCAGCTTTCAGGCTCCTCTTCTGTGGAACCAGTTCCCAGTTTGGATTCAGGAGACAGACACCCTCTCTACTTTTAAGATTAGGCTCAAAACTTTCAATTCTGATAAAGCTTAAAGTTATGGCTCGATCGGATTACCCCGAGTCCTCACTTCGTTACACACCATTAGGCCTTGGCTGCTGGGAGCTTCTCATGATGCCCTGAGTGTTTCATCTTCACTCAACGATCGCTTCAGATTGCTGTCCCACCCTGACTCTGGAGGTCGGTTCCTGCCTTCCTAAATGGGAGTTTTTCCTTCCCACTGTCGCCAAGTTCTTGCTCTTACGGGATCACCTGATTGTTGGGATTTCTTTCTATAATTATGAATGGGGATTATGCACCATATAAATAAATAAAACTGAACTGAATTAAACGGCTGTACCCAAAATAAGTTTTGCTCGATTAACGTTTGACTTTCATTTAACTGATTGGGGGAAAAAAGATCTGCCTTCAAAAACCAGGTATATGAGGTGTAGTCTTAAATATGAAAAAAGGAGTAAACTGAAATTAGAATTTTTGAAATGATTATCCTTTTAACCGTAGGCGGTAAGTAATGAGATACTAGCATGCTGTGAGGAGTGTAAACACTGTGAGGACTGGGCCATTCATTTCATTTTTGAAAAGCAAAGTAAAAAATAACCTCTACCCTTCTTCATTTGTACATTTTGGAGAAAAAAAATAAACAACTATTAAACAATAAAAATATCAATCTTTATTCTTTGAGATAGCATATCAAAGATAAACCTTGATCTATAATACCATGACAAATTACACAAGAACTATACAACGGTAAACAGTGTAACCCAATAACTTTCTCTTGATAAACAATAGTTTTGTTTTTCTTCTCTTTACTCTTAAGTAATGAAAATATCTTTGACTTCAATTATACTGTTGACTCTCTTTTGGAAATTAGAATGGTATATTTAGATGTAGTCTCTATAAAATATCCCATGAGCTTTTAAAAATACTTTTTTCCCCCCCAAAGAATATAATCACGTGATGTATATCATATGATATGACAGGCAACATTTAGAGGTATCATTTCAGGCTTTTAGGTACAAATTGTCCCTCGCAGTTGTGGCAGAACATCTGCCGCTGATGAAATGATGTAAGCTTGCAATGTAAAAGTCACCGTCTTCCCATTATTTGTTGGCATGACTGATTGTAAATAATAAAATTCAATGTACAAAATGATCAATTCTTGGAAAGTTACTGGTTGCCAGGTACGGTAAAGTCTCACAAACAGCGTACAAAATACTGCATGATACAAAAAACCCAAACATATTCTAAATCTAAATTATCATCACTGGTTAAGACCTGCAACAAACCGGAAGCCAACAGCTGGAATCAACGATGAATTAAAGTGATTACATTAAACGCACACATAAATACCTATTGATAAAATCAGATCTATACTGTATACTGTATGTGCTTCTCTTTAGAAAAGAAAATGGACTTTTATTTGGTCAGAAAAAAAAAAGGACAAAACGGCTGCATGGGATAACAGTTGCACCCCCATCTTACACAATAAAATTAGAACATTAGCAATTAAAATACAACAGTACAAGAGCAATGCAAAATGACTGTATTACACAACATTGGCATTATATGGAAAGAGACAATATTGTTTGGCAAAAAAAAGGGGGGAGGGTTTTAAAAAACATCCTAAAAACACTGGAAAATTACAAGACTCGTTGTTTCCAAAAGCTACTCCACACTGCTACCGCTTGTCTGTTTAATTCTACAATGCGGTGTCAACAATATCTTTACTTTCTCTGTAACACTATAAGCCTAATCTACATATCCCTACTTAACCCTAGCGACTATACAATACTATACACCACAACACAAGTCTTACTGGGTCAGTGGCACTAAGTTAGGTGTAGTTTAGAGCTAATCTACTGGCATCTCAAAAGCTCTACTGTACTCTGCAACATGACATTTCTCCTGCAGCCTTGGCTCGCCAACACTTCTGTCGACCCATAATTTCGATTATCTGTGTGTGTGGATGACTTCTGTGGATTTCTGTAAACAATCCTGAATGTAGATTGGACTTGACAGTTATCATGACGGGAAAACGAACTAAAAGAAAGTAAGAAAGAAAGAGATCACTGTATGATATTGTGGCCCACAGCGAGGATGTGATTTTGCTTTCAACTGTAATGATGTAAAAAGATGAGAAAACAGCTCCATGGATGGAAAAATGTCGGAATTTACTCTCCGCTCTGTTTCTTGTAACTTCCTGATAAATTAAAAGATGAAGTTAGGTAGTCCTTCTTGGTAATAAAAATGATCTTCACAGCATGAATGCGTGTGTGTGTGTTTGTGTACATCTGGGCTTGTTTTTGTAAACAGAATATATGCAAGAGAGTGTACGCTTTGTGCCAAGCTGTGTCCTGATATCATAAATTGGCAATTTGGCTCCACATTAGACCCTCTACATCTCGTGGGACAAGGCTTCGTGCTGAGCAGCGACTCCGTTTGGCTGCGGGGTGGCGGGCTGCTCCTCGGGCTGGCCATTGGCCTTTGGCTGAACAGCAGGATGGTCAGGCGGGTTAGAGGTGAAAAGGATGTTGGATTCATTTAACCGGCGAACACGATACGTCTCATAGTGGATGCTGCATGTGATGTCTTTGATGTTCTGCATGTGTGTCCTGAAAACAAGACGAAGAAGAGAGTATTACATCTAATGAGAAAATACCGCAAAGCAAGCTTAACAGGAAATGCCTACAACAGGTATCACTCTATATTTATGGTCATGTGTTGTGGAAACAATCGCATGTATTTGCATACTGTGTGCGAGGAGTCAGTCCTACACTAACAAGCTTAAATGCACAGATTCATTGGAAGAACCTGAGTAGAAATGCCTGCTCTACCACTGTCTAGGGAAGCACTCAAAACATCAAAAGGAATTTCATTGGTATTGATTTCAGTCGGAAATTGAAGCTTTATAGAATCACTCCTGTCTCCAATTCATTTCAGCACATCTAAAAGACAGAGTGAGCTCTGATTTAGCAAAATGGTGAACCTGTAGCTGGGTTTTTATTCAAATCACACTATACCCCTAAAAAACAAAAACATTAAAATAAATGTAGAAGTGTGATGGATGCTCACCTGATTAGGAGATCTCGGAGATAAGCAAACTCACAGTGTGCAATGTTCTCAACTGCAAAGAGAGAAAGAGCAAATCGCTGAGACTAAATTCACAAAAAAATCCCAAATCCTTTCCAATCCTGCTTTCTTGCAATTCCTTAAAAAGGTCACAAGATGGCAGTGCTGTTCACAATCCAGTTGAAGGGCGTCCTCTAACATGACATCTACAGCAATTTTCTTAAGCCATGATAACTCCCTCCTCCACTTTCCAGCAATTTAACACATCAGAGCTCTTCACTGTATTGGAGAACTTTAAGTAAGACGTTTTAACAAATTCCCTATGACAAGCTTGTGGTGCCTTTAGTAGGCCTAACATGTTTGAATTATAGATTATGTCTAGTGAAAATGAAGTAAAGGAGGCTACTACTTAAGTAAAGCTTTGAAATCCAGGGCAGGAAATTTAATTCTCTTTGAAAGTGGGAGAGTGGAATAACTGCTGGGCCTGTGAGCGCTGATTAACGGCATCAAGGGAACAAGATACCAACTTGTAACGAGCTGAACTGCTGGTGTCTAGACGCTCTACTCCTCAACTAGCAGTGAGGAGCTGTTATATCAATCGATATGTATGTCTAATATACCCGTTACCAACACAGCTCCTGAAAATAAACAGTATTTTCGGTGCTTGTGATAGTATAGAGACTTAGTCCTCCTCTGAGGCCTAATTTATGATGATGGTGCCGGCATGTCCGGGAGCTTTCTCTCCCTTTCTTTTCCCTGTTCCCGCTCTCTTACTACTTGGCTTAACCAGAACTGAGCCACTGTTCTCTTAGCCAGACAAGACTGCATTTGTCCTGAAATTCTTGTACTCTATCTCCCTCACCTTGCGGTTCTACAGAACTCATTTGTAAGCTTTCGTATGAGTAGACTGGACATCTTCAGAATGTAAAATTGAAAGGTTAAAAGTCCAAAGTACCATGTTTTGAGGAGGAAGAAAAGTCTGCATGCACCTCTGAATATAAAGCAGGTTTATACACTAGAAGTACAAACTCAAACCTGAAAGTATTGGGATACCGTGCGACATGTACATTAAAAACAGAATGCAATGATTGCAATTTCATAAACCTATATTGTATTTATCATAAAACATTTAATGTTTAAACTAAGAAAATGTACCACTAAGGTCCAAACTCAGGTCAGTTTGAATTTGATGGCAACATGTTTCATAAAAGATGAGGAAGTGCTGTGTTTACAGCTGTAAACATCTGGGAGCTGAGAAGAGCAGCTGCTGGACTTTTGGGGGAGGAATGTTGTCCCATTTTAGTCTGATAAATGATTATAGCTGCTCAACAGTCTTGGGTTGTCTTTGTCATATTTTTGCTTTATGATGTTTTGGTGAAAGGTCTGGATTGCAGGCAGGCTAGTTCAGCACCCAGACTCTTCTACTACAGAACCAGTGCTTACAATAGATCCAGTATGTGATTTAGCATCGTCTTGCTGAAATATCCGAGGTCTTCCCTGAAAAAGAGGTCATCTCAGTGAAGCGTATGTTGCTCTAGACCCTGTATTTACTTTGCAGCACTGATGATGCCATTCATGATGTGCAAGCTGCCAATTCCACAGCCACTAATGCACCCCGACACCATCAGAGATGCAGGCTTTTGAACTGAGAGCTGATGAACAAGCCAGATGGGCCCTCTGTTTTCGTCTGGAGCACATGGTGTTTTCAAAAAATAATTTCAACTTTTGATCCGTCTGACCACCGAACGGTTTCCCACTTTGCCTCACTTTGCCTCACTCCATTTTAAGTGATTTAAATATTCAAAGTCATTGCAATTATTATTCATTAATAATTTATATCCACCGTTCTGAAATGATTCTACAATGTATAGACAGCTTTTTGCAGGTTGAACCCATCCATCCATTTTTTTATACCCAGTCATGTTACTGACCCGATGCCAGTTGATCTCAGTTAATCTAAAATGTTCCTCCAGCTGTTTCCTCTTAGTACAACTTACTTTTCCAGCCTTTTGTTGCTCCGTCCATACTTTTTTCTTCAGTTGCTACCATCACATTCAAAATGAGCATGAGTCTCTCAGTTTAAACATTTGATATGTTTTCTATATGCTATTGAATAAAATACAGGTTTACAAATCACTGCATTTTGTTTATTTGCATTTGAATCCTTATCTTTGAAATCATTTTTTATTTTTATCCCAGTGTTTTCTGCTCGAAGCGTCACGCCAAGTCTTGCATGCTACCATACTGTTTAGATACTTGTGTGATTGAAATGCTCTTGTTTATCTGAACATTTGTCGTGTTTCAGACAGTATTTCAAGGTCATATTTCATAGTGAACACTGGGCGTTTCCCCAGCTACACTGAATCACAAAACAAACATAGTCTGAGTCATTTACATTTATCATTTACATGATATTAAATAGCTTGAGGGGTTTTTTGGTGAATGATTTATACATTACAATGCATTTATAGGACAGCAAATGAACTAGATGCTCTGCAAGGACTGTGCTGAAGGGTGTCCTTAGCAGGAGACACTATTAAACAGTGATAGGTCCCTGCTGAGCTATCCTTCAGTTGGCTTTTTGTCTTTTTGCTACGTGTCCAGAGAGATGTCCTCGCTCTTTCTCCATCTCTACACACACACTTGCACAATTGTGAGTAATGCAAGTACAGTTACTTGCTAAGAACCTCTTTGGCACTGTGAGCGTGCAGCACAGGCCAACAAATGTAAACCACATCACAGAAGTTATTGCATGCAAGTGTGTCTGTGAGACAGTGTGCGTGTGTTTTATGTTTCTTCCTGTAATCTCAGAGGACATAGAAAGTGTCTGCAAATCTTTTCCTCCTGTCTCCTACGTCTCCCAAGTTACAGACTCAGAGAAACTTATATAAACAAGTATTCAAACAGCAGATGGTTAAACTAGCTGGCCACGTTTTCAAGCAGCAGTCTCTAACTTTCCACATGCTGAGAGTTCACCAAAATCAGTCTGCTGGTTTTGCTGGTCATTTTGCCACCACAAATACCAGCATGAGCAAGGTGAGACAACTCAACTGTAGTTAGTAACTGTAGCATGCATGCTGCTGTATTATTTATTGGGTCAAGTCAGATGGCTTTGGCACTGTCGTCTGGACAGGTGCGACCCAGTCATGAGTACAGGAAATGGGCCGTTTTAACGTTTGACCAGATGGACATTATAACATTATTAGGCCAAGCCAAGTATTTTTTTAACTGCTTTGCTGGAGCAATTAGTGGCACTGGCAGTGACAGCTACATGTCGACATGGCCGATCTACATCGAGACAGTAAATAAATGATCACATTGTTCTACCTTGTTATTCATTTTCTATTATCTGGCAGGGAAACTAACCAGCTGTGGTGTTTTATTTGCAAGTGTGTATTACCCTCTATGGTGCCCCACTTTGTTTTCCTTCCCAGAATCCTCTTTCCGTTCACCTGGTACTCCTGGTCGCTGCCCACCACAGCAAAAGGGGTCATCTCCTGTTGAGTGCACACATGCAAACATGAAGAGAAAACGCTGAAGTGTTTGCACCGATTCATGTTTTTGACTTGTTGCAATTTCCCCAGTTATCATGGATTTTCCAAAGAAACACATACCGGAGATCAAAAAAGTTGCATCTAACAAAGGCTTACATTACATCCATGCTGTAGCCACAGGATGCTATTCTTTAGGTTTGCTGTTAAAATTCGAAGTGAATGAACACAGCAGTATCAACTTACCCTGATTTTGTCATTGATCATCCTGTCCTCTGCATCCTCATCAAACTCTTTCTGAGGATAAACATCGATCCCATTGGCTCGCAGCTCTTCCCTAATCTATACACAAGTAAAGAATGACACACAAAAACAATAAAGTTAAGATGACAAAAAATGCAAAAAAGTCACACCGGCACATAATATATAAATGAAGATGCTTCAGTCTACGCAGATATAAAAATGTACAAACGGAGAGTGAGACTGTAGCAGTTGTGCACAAACTCACTTGACTGTGTCCTGGAGCATTTTGTCAAACCAGTATAACAGAATATAAGCTAGCTGTTGATACCCGTGACAGAAAGGGGCGGGGACACGCTGGTTAACAACTCTTGAGAAGTCTGACATCCAGACAGAGGTACAGCTCATAAAATCTCCACCCCTCACTTTCAGCATGCTTTTAAAACGACTAAAACTCGGGCACGGGCGCAGGAAAGTTTCTGAGAGAAATGTCCTTTTAATGAATGACTGTTCACTCCCACAATTACTACTCTGACAATTTCCACTTGGTCCTTGATCAAACATTTTTATTGTGCATCCTTAGAAGCTTTCTCAGGGTTACATTAAAGGATGCGAACCAAGTGAAATCCTACAAAAAAGCCACATCAGCGGTGGTTATGTGAACACACATTCATAGTTGAACACACTGAGACCCATCATTTAATAAAAAACAAAACAAAAAAAATTCAGCTTGTTCTGGTTGCATGTTAAGTTGCTGCGGGGATAATGGGAGGGGAAAAAAAACTGGCACGAGAAGCTTTTAGTCAATAATCTTCAGGGTCAAACAGAGCATGTGCAGCCAACCAAAACAATCCAGCTACAAGCCCCGAGGCTTCGACTCTCTGCCAGGGCCTGGCACAGAAACCAGAAAGCAGACTCTGCTTTGTACTTATTGGACTGTGTTACTGGGATAGAGGGGAGACTGGTAGCCAAGACACCCATTGTGCTTCCACCTCTCTAAAATGAATAAAGCTTTTGGGAAGTCTGCATTCTTAAAACAAGGGATGTGACACAGAGAAAAAGATGGAGGAAGGCAGGTGGCCGTCTGCGTCCTGTGGAGTGAAAATAATCCAGCAGAGAAACGCAGCGAGGAAGAGATTCAGCATCACGTAGGGACTCAATCCAGGTGAAGCAGGAATCTGTTTAGCAGGGAAAGCCATGATAAGAAGGTGAGCGGTGTGAGGCTACAGATTGTCAGGTTTACAAGTCAAAGTGTTGACTGTAAAGCCAAATATACCCCCAAATTAAACTCTGTGGATGAAAGCCTGCACAGATTTACAGTGGTTAGCCTGGATGCATTTGCTAAAACGTGCTTAAAAAACTTCAGTGACAATAAAGATTTCTTGCCATTTGCCAAAAATAAAAAATGCCCATCACGTTGCTGAAATAGAGGAAAAGCCAGGAGATCATAAAATTCATTATGTTGTTTAGTTTGGGAACCGTAACTACATGTATAAAAGCTCTGTGGCATTAAAAAAAAAACAGTATGGGACTTAACAATGAAAAAATAAACTCAAGTATCAAAAACGGGCAAATTATCTCAGATTATTTAGAGAAACTGATGAATATTCAGGGTTTACTAAAATGCTAATTTTGAATTCATTTAATTCTAGTCATGTTTTATTGCACAGTGGAGACCTCTTTGAGCTTGGCTGTATTGTATGCTCACCCCATAATTCAGTGGTAGCCAAACGAAGAGCCTGTCTGCTTAGCTGGAAAGTGGGCTTAAATCTCTTGGATTGTTGCTTAGATAAACAGTTCTTAAATATCTGTAATTAATAAGAGCTTAAAATGTTCACAGTTCACAGAGATAATAGAGTATTTCCCAGGATGGATGGAGTGTGAGTTTGCACAGATGGCTTCAGTTTGTGGTTAAGCCTGGCAGCTTCTATACACCAGTGATTAATGATTATTACTGGTTACTGAACACACCTGTGTTCATGAACACACTCTGTCGTCCGATCTACCAACGCAGTGCATTTATTTATCTTAAGCACACTCTGAAGCGCTCCTCCAGGCCAGGTCTCGCACACAGCTAACACGATGCAGTTACCAAGACCCAGCAATGCATGCAAACACACTTCTCTCACCGTCTTTTTAAAGGAGTCCCTCTCCTCCAGGGTGAGCGTGTCGGCCTTGGCAATGACAGGAACGATGTTGACCACCTTACTGAGATGCCTCATAAACTCCACATCCAGAGGCCTAAGACTGGAAGATGAAAAAGACAACAAAATTCAACTTTACTTTAAGTAAAATAATTCATATTTTACACATAAATGCGCAAGGAGGTACTAAATTAAGAGGTCTTACACTATGGAAGGACAAAGCAATTTATACTACAGATAAAAAGACACCAAGATGTAAACCTTGTTTCATTTTTGAGTGAATAGTAATAATAATTTAATTAAAAGTGCAGGAACGTCAGTTTAGGTTTTAGATATTGTATACAGGAATCGCCACATACAGGATTAATCAGTTAGGCAGGTACCTAAATAAAATATTCCAAATGTTTGTTAATAATATGAAATAATCAATAATTCCAGGGGGGGACTCAAACTGTTTCTTTTCAGTAGTTGACTGCACCAAAAATAGCAAACGTGGTTAATTACATGTACTTCACTGCTCCAAACAGGCAACTGGAAGTTCTATTTAAGAACTGACATGACTGTAAGGAAAGAGAACAACCACTAGAGAGCAGTCATGGTCCACTGCAGTCTTTCTGTTCTCCCTGAAACCATGTCACTGTAACACACAGAGGGGCTTTCTCATTTTGACAGGTTCACCATTTTCCCCATTTGTCCTTAATATTCTGCTTTCGCCTAACTCAAAGCCAGTTTAGATAAAAGCATTCCTCCTCACTGGCTTTGTGAATCTTTCACATCTTAACAGTGTGTTTGATTAAAGTTGTTTACGTTTCTCCTTTAGCAGCCTGTAATCGTGCCTAGCGTAGCAATGATTAGGACCGTCAGTGTGCACACTGTTGTTCCATGTTGCCTCCAGTTGCTCCTGCACACAGTTTCCTTTCATGCTGTCTGCTCTGCCCTCCAATTAACCTCAGCCAGCCTGGTTCAAAGACCCAGAGGCAGCTGGAGGGAGGAAGGATGCCAGGCAAGTTCTCCAGAGCAACTGACAGACATGTCACCATCAAAATGGGATGAGCTTGTGCTACACAGAGACAGGACAAGAGAAACAGAGCAGCAGAGGTAAAGAGAGAGGAGCGATGCAGAATAAGCGAGGCATCAAATGCTCAGGGGGCAAAATGTCACGTGAAATAAATACGCAGACAGGAAGGATATCCCCCCCTCCAAAAAAAGAAAAACTGTGGCTCACGATCCATGTGTGTCAGTGCATAAATAAACTGGGGCTATATGTACATGTGTGCAGCATCACATGCATGACAGAGCATACATGCACACTTTCAGATGTACACATGCACTCTTACCGCAACATATGCAGCATGGACAGTCTTTATAAATTAAACATGGATGCATGCACAGATGTACAACTGTATGTCTGTGCATGCATGAATAAATCCTTCTGTCTAGCTGGTCGAAGAACATAGCAGTGACGTTTAAATGAACTGAGAATGGTTAGCTCGGTGGTCAAATGAAATGAGGAGAAAACAACCAACCACACTGCGAGCAGCACTCCCCTCCCACCATTTCAGCAACGGGTCAGAAAACCAGCTCTGAGTTGACGAGAGCCAAAGTGGAGTCTTTGTTTTCTTGTGTCAACATGAAAATAATGTGCCTGATGCTGCCATTATCGGAAATGGCTTCTTTAATGCCAAGGCTATGTCTTGCTTCACTGAGCGGTGCTCTTCGATCCGAAACCACAGTAGCAACCGAAATGCACATCTCCAACGATAGAGGCTTATGAAAGCTCAATCTGTCGTCATTTTGCTTCCTGTCATTCTTGGTCACATGGCGCAGGCATCCAGAAGCCTTTGGCATTGTGTCTGGGTAATTGGTAACAGGCCTCATCTAAAAAACCTTCAGCTAACATTACTGTGAGAATTTAAAATGAGAAAATAAGCAAGCAGAGCATAATAGGGTAAGCGTTTTGTGATTCTTTCAGGGACTTATGTTCTTATTTTATTTGTGAATCACTTCTACTAAGTTAAAAAAAAAAACAACAACTGCAAAGATCTGCCGTAGGTTTGCAAGTATCCTTATATGTACGTATGAAACTACCAAACAGGAACTCTCTACCACGTGCCATACCCCAACGGTAGCCCCAGCAGATGTCTCCTTTATTCTTGCATACAACTCTCTGGATAGCTGTAAGGAAGATCACTTCCTGACAGATGTTTATAACTTTTGATTAAGAAAAAAGGTGTGAATTTTTTGCAAAGCGGGCACCTCTGCTTATGAGCAGTATCTGACCTGCAGCAATACTATGATTACAAAGATGACGCTGGAGGATTTAGGCACTAAGAGAAGCAATGCACAGTCACAATAGAAGAGGGTGGACTGAACTCTGCAGCTGTAAGCACAATTATCCACAAACACATTCAGGGTATCCACATATGCGCACCCGTGCAAGTTTCAGCATGCCCACTGCCCACTTGAGTCCACTCCCTGCGCCCCGCTTTACATGAACAAGGGTACACACGAACACACACTCGCTGAAGCAACAGCTGTGGTGACATGAGCAGATGATGAGGGGGTCTGTCAAACTGTGGGGCTCGCACATGTCATCCCTCGATCCTTGAAAAACATTTAAGTGGACAACTGTTGAGTTATTGGTGCACAGAAATATGCGACTGGGTTGGATCTGCGGTAAGAAAGCCAGTTAATGGGTGTTTACAGTTGGTGCGCATTAAAGCTTTGAGTGTTTTAATTCACATATGTACAATATTTTAAAGCCAAGGTGGCTTTATCAATCACACACACTCAAGAGACAGTATCTTTCTTGCTCCTGAGGTAACACAAGGACACTAGCATTAGTTGCTAAATGAGACACCTGCACTCTTTTGGTCCACACTTTGGTATGTTAGAATCATTCACACCATTTTGTTTCTGCTTTAGCCTCCAACCACGTCTTTTGCACATTTGGCGGCTCAGTGAAACACGCTCGTCTCCGACCACTGTCGCACTGGATTTCATCATCAAGTTTCCGTCAACTGCTCGATATCACATCTCTCTATTCAGTCACAGACGATAAAGCCGAGAGATATTTAAGAGAGAGACGGCTCAGAATGAAAGGAATACAGCGGAAGCTGCAGAGTTCAGTTTCTTTGTGAAATGTGACCCTTCGAGTGACTCTTACGTGTCTTTGAGGAGAGAACGAGTTCCACATGTGGTCATTAGAGAGTGAGATGAAAAAGACCAGGAAAGCGATGTGGTTAAAGAGCTAGAAAGAGACAATAGGTCGGGGGAGGTCCCCTGAAGACCCTCTGTAGTTGTGGTGAGAAAAAAGGAGTAGGAGCTTGTATCATTTTAATACAGGCTCTTACCAGTGGCCAGTGGGAGGTATGAAGTATATGCAGCAGTGCACCCTGGAGTCTGGGATCCTTTTCTTCCTGTTAATGTTGATTTCCTCTTGCAGGTAGGATTCATACTGGTCATTGATGAACTTCATGATGGGTTGCCAGCTGTAACAAAGAAAATTAAGGAAAGAAACTATCACCTCAAAACCTCTTGTAAACAGTTACTCTGCTACAGTGACTCCTTTTGTTCTGCAACATTAACTTATAAGCTCCAAAGAAATTTGTAAAGACAAAACTACGGATTTTTTTTTTCCTTTTCAGTGATATAGCGATATTATAACATGCAGCATTGCCTCCAGGGAGGCAAATGTTCCTGTAATGCTAAAGACACTTTTAAGACATTATAACTTCTAATTAAATCATGCATATTTTACTTACACAAAAACTGAATCACATTTCCTCAACACTTAAATTATAAAATAATAACATGAAATCCACCGTCTTGATTAAACAAAATAAAATGGAAAAAGTGTTTTAAAAAAAAAAAACAGAAAGAAATTGAGTTTCAGCTTTGAGACAAATTGAATAAGTACAGGAAGTGATTGTAGGCAGGTAGATCAAGTCTGGGCTCACCAGTTTTCATTGTTGATTTGATCCCCAAAGCCAGGAGTGTCAATAACTGTTAGCTTCATCCGAACGCCTTTCTCTTCAACATCTACAGAAAGAAAAAGTGATTCGTGTAATTTAGGACACTTCACTTTTGCCAGAACGATGCACCGTTTATATATTTATAATGACAGATTAGACAGAAAGCCCATATTTCATATTATTAATGCAATATGTGCTGCATCAGGTGGTAGGCTACAAAACACGGCATACCGTGACTGACGGACTTGATCTCGACTGTCTTGGGGATCCTCTCCTCCACGTTGGGCTGCACAGACTTACGGCTCACCTTGGATTTGAACAGCGTGTTCATCAGAGTGGACTTTCCCAGGCCGCTTTGCCCTGATCCGAAAAACGAACAGACGAACATGCAACATTTAGTAAAAGTAGGAAAACAACCATCTTAGGCAGTCACAAGGGAAATCCCTCTGAAGACAAAAGCACAATTCAGCTTCTCTTTTTTAAAACCTCAGAGTGGGGAAAACTACATCTTACAACAGGACCTTACGCTCTTCTGCATGGGTTGTGTGGTGGGTGTGTAGTTGCATTGGGAGCCTCGTTATAGCCCCCAGAAGAGCCACCTTTGGACGCCACAGTATTGTACAGACCACACACAGAGATGCAGACATACACAAGATACATCACCCACTAGGGGCTGAATCCTCTTACGTTGTGTCTCCAGTATTATATAATTCTACTGAATATGGTCTTAGTGAGATAGGATGGGTGGAAACTAAGTAGAAAGTGCATATATACTTATTATACAATATTATAGTGTCATTTCTCTTACTTAATTAAAAAAGGTCCACTGCTGTTGATACCATGAATAAAAATGCAATTTCCCCTTCCACAGTGTATACTTATCATACTTGTCAATACATTACATTTAGTATTTATTAATCAGTGCAAGAGTTATACTCCGACATCTAATAGCCTCAAAAAATGTGCACCTGCATAGTGTGGTATCCAGAGTCGTTCGGCTACGTTTCTTTTTTTGACTTCCAAATGAATTTAAAATTTAGTCAATCTGCTCATTTCCACTTCTACATTTTTACTCTAAAGACTGAGGTAGATTTGCATAATTCACAGTTGCTGTAGCTCCCTTTCCTGTAGCTCAACTTTACTCTGACTGGCTCAAGCATTAGCAGTATGCCTGACGACCTCATTATTTAAAACCATGACAAGCACGATTGTCAAATAGTAAATATGTCGAACTTGTGGACAGAGGATGCCAACATGGCGAGTCTATGAAGTTAAAGGTGACTTACAGCAATACTGTGATGCTATTCATTGCTTGTTTAGCCAATGGAAACATCGACTAAACAAATGCGTGCTTGTGCTGAAACAACAACGAGTTGGTTTCCTTTGACTGGACGAAAATAATACAAGGTGGAAGCGAAAATCTTGATTTGATACTAGCATCATTTTGAAACATTAGGAGTAACCGGATAAACGGGTCACTGCACACAGACCCACTCTGTGTGCCATGTCCAACATTTCCTGTCCTAAATGTAGACTCTGTGGGTATCTGATAGGGCATATGGAGAGTCGCCAAGCTGCCAGGCCCTCTGTGACCCCTCTTGGTGGCCTTTACCGCCTCTCTCTCACCTTACATAAACACACTGCCTCTTTAGCACACACTTCACATGCAGTCTGCCCTGCTGTATGCATTCACCCACAAGCACATGGTCACATTTTCTTTCCTTCTTCTACTGACATACACACTTAGACACATTGGCCAGGACTAGGTAGCTGAGGGGAGAAATTAGGGTCAAATGCATTCCCTGAATACCACAAGACCACAAGGGACAAGACCAACACCAGTTAACCTTTTACATTTCAACTAACCACTCAAATAGCAAATCTGTTAGCCAGCAGGAACTTTATTAGAATGGGAATACATTATCTCTTAACGTTAACTAAAAGAAATCTAACAAATCTAACTACAGAAAAAAACAACAACAACAAAACAGTAGTAATCTGACTACACACGGTAGCCAGATTCCTACTGTGTTTCATGGCCTTGAGCAAGAGCTGAAGACAGTCTCACAATTATCACCAAAATGATGCACACCCTGCTGTCAAAACAGTCAGAACCCAACGGCAGGCCAGCACTGAACGGAAAGTAAGAAGTAGATGCCAATCATGTGCTAGGTGTTTGCTAACACATTGCCCGAGGAACTTGACACGTTGCTATAGTGATGTACTTTAAAGCTCCCTTTGGCAATCAAGATGCCTCGTGCCGGTTGAAACTTGCCTTTTCTCTTCCTAGTGAGCGTTATTTAACAGCGATAGACTTTATCAGTTAATTTTCATTTATCCTTGATGCATTTGGGGCACTGCAAGCAAACATGTCAATGTTGGGTAGAAATCTGCAGTTTTCCTGCAACAACACAAATGTGTAAGCAGGGATGCAAATCTCACAGAGATTGAAACACGCTGCTGTTTCACTCGGGAGCTTTTTGTGTTTACTCAGAAAATAAACGCTCGGTGAGTCATGTTCCACCATCATGCTCTCAATATAAATCTGACACTTTCACTTCACACTCAATACAATAAACAGTAACTATGCAGCAGCCCTCATTTGCCATGCTATGATCCATTTCCATGAAGCTGCACTGACATGCCACCTTACAGCGTGTACTAAACATAGCCCCGAAGAGCCTCAAATCAGAGTTTTACAGTTACTTCCAACAGGCCAGTACCAACAAACAAAACAGATAAAATCTCTGATTGTTATGTAGCTTGATAACATTCCTTTGTTTATAAGCAACATTAGCATAGGTCTGTGTCTCTTGTATGCATGCATGCATGCACACAGGTGCAGGATTGGATAGATGTACTGACACTTTGATGGTGAGGCTTAACTGGAGGTGCGTAGCTGCTTTCTGAGGACGTGAAGTCTCACACGGAGTGTGTGCTTCAGCTTGTCAGAGTAATCGCCATCATTATAGCAATTACTCAGCCTGACAGCCTAAGTTTATCCTCTCAAGTGAGAGTGTTTGTCTGATAAACTGTGGACACTCAAAAAGAGAGCTTGTTGAGGAAGTCGCCACGTTAGCTGACTGTTACCAAAACAAGGGAAGTAGAACCACACTATCAAACACGCACGGTTCGTCCTGCCTTTGCTCTTTACGGCAGCCTCGTAATAGATATAAAAAGCGATTTTCTGAATCGACAGCAAGCAAACCAAGCATGTCCTCTTTTAACTGGCAATATGTGTGCTCCTGATGTGTGTTGCGTCTCAGTTAAATGCTGACTCATGTGTTACTTGAACCACAACTCTTCTTTCGTTGCTTTGTTCTGCATTTTGAGTTGTTGCTGCACAAACTGAAAAGTTTTAAATGACTCCCATGTGATTCCCCCCCCTTTTTTTGCTTTGCTGAAATCAGGACTGGGACAATATCTGTTGCAAACACACCACATTTGGGAGCAATTACAGCTTCAAGCCTTCTTGGACACATCTGTGCTAGTTTAAACTGGTTACATAGTTATATTCAAATCCAACATGAAGGCATAATAAACATTAAAGTGTGAGGTCAGACTAGATGGGAGGAAAACATTTAGAATTAGGCCTTTACATCATTCCACAGATTTGTACGAAAGCGACCACCTTTACTCACTGTAATTATCTTTTTTATATGCCATAATTTAGCATCTTTAGCATCCCCCGCTCCTCCATTTAATTTGACAGGACAAGGTTGGAGTCAACAGCACAGGTTTTCACTGGGTAATGTTGTGTGTCTTACTCACCCACAACCATGACATTGAACTCAAAGCCTTGTTTCATGGCCTTCCTCCTCATTTGCTCCAGGATGGCATCGATGCCCACATAGCTGGTGTCGCTGATCGGGGTCTTCTCCCCCTTAGCTTGAGGTTGGGGCTTGGTGGCTTCAGACATGTTGCTATGGCTCAGATTGACCTCTGACCCTAAGGGACACAAAGAGGGGGACAAATTAGTGTATTTTGTTGGTGTTTATCCCCAAAGCTTGATGTTTGAGCACATTAGTTTATGAAGTTAACGTTTAAATTTAGTACATTTGAACAAGCAACATAAATTCAAGTGAAACCTTATTAACTGCAGTGAACACCAAGTTAGGAGTGCAAATCATACACGATACTCATCTGAGAGGCTGACTTCCTGTGTGAAACAGGATACCAGACTCAAAATTCATAGCACCAACCCCCTTTTACAAGTCACTGTGTAAATGAGACATTATAGAAGAACAAGAAACTTTCCAGCAACTACCTCACGCTAGCAACCCAGTGCACAAAAGCTGTTGACTTTTTCAAAAAATAATGATGTGGAAGTTGGAGCCACAGTCAAACAATGCAGCTGTGTTTTGCAGTAAAGATAAACTAATAAGGAAGACAAAAGAAACAGACCTCGGTGGAAGAAGCGACCAAATATAAATCACAGCTTACCTCACTTTAAGGCGGATCAATTGAAGGCGAAGGCTGTGTGCCAAAGCACTGCTGCAACAGGCAAAATAAAAAAAACAGTTCAACCCTACCAACTGTACTAGTATGTGCTTGCATCAACAGCAAGACTCACTCCTATGGTAGGAGGAGACATCATTTCCTGTACTGTGACAGCGTGTGGCGATGCCTGCGTGAGGTCTGCAGTCAAAGACACTACAAACCACAGACGTGTACCTGAAACTGAATCTGTTACAGCCATCCTGGATTTATCTTTATATGAGGCACGCTAAAACAACAGCTTGTCCATAAAGTGCTTTCTGCAGCATCACGCCTTTTAACGCTGTAAATATAAATGAAGCAGTTATGACAATGAACTTTCTGATACTGCTCCCTGCTCAGAGTTTCTCTCTTCCTGGGTATGGGTAAGACAAAAACATTTTTTTGTGAGCGTTTTGTTTTTATATTGATACCATGCTGGTTGTTTACAGGCACAGAAAACAGAGATTTACCCACAGAGGCTGAAAGTCAAAGACTCACAAGATTGTGGGTGTCCACTCTCAAGTGGACACCATTAGTCAGCACAAGCCTGAAAACCACAGACTTTTCTACTTTACAAGTCATGCATGCTTCCCTTAGCCAAGATTAGAAAAACAGTGCACACATGTTCACCGATACCCAGTTATTTTAATAGATATAACACAAAAAGTAGGTAAACTACATGCATGACGAGAAGGTAGGAAGTTAAATAAGAGTTTTCAAACAGGAATGGCTGCAGTGCTATCAGACTACCTTGACAACTTTCCTTTTGGTTAAACCTTACAGTTAGGGTTGGCCCTTAACCACCATAACCTTAGTTATGCTGCTATAGGCTCAGGCTGCTGGGGGACGTCCCATTCTCCACTCACTTTTGTCGACTCCCCGCGCATTCATGCGTCACTAATGCATGTCATTACCATCTGTCTACATTGTCCCATAGTTTGTGTTGTTTCCTGTTCATGGTGTCTCTGTGTCATCTTTTTTTCTACGTTCCTCCACTTAGCAACCAACTGACCGGTGTAGCAGACGGCTGCCCCTTCCTGAGCCTGCTGCAGGTTTCTTCCTGTTAAAACTGAGTTCTTCCACCCCACCGTCTCCAAGTTCTTGCTCATTGGGGAGCATTTGACCATCACTGGTTCTGTCTCAAAGATGGGGTCTTCAATTTATAATACAAAGCACCCTGAGAAGCTTGTGTGAGCTTGTGCGACATACATAAACCTGAACTGAACTGAATGTCTACTAACATAACATATAATTTCAACTTTCTACACACTTGCATAATACTGAGTACGTCTGAAATCAATGACCGCTTCTTCTCTGAGCGAGACAAAGAGCCACAATTTTGGACCACGAGTAAGGTTATTGCACCTTCAGCAGTCTCTGTGGTATCCATCAGACCTCTGACTTTCAGACTCTGATGGCCAAATGTTTAGTGGACGAACTACCCATGTGGCTTGGCTAAAATTCAACAAATCAATCATCAGGCAATAAGTGATCACTAAACAATGCATTTCTCTTGAGAAATCACTCAACTGAAATTAAAATGCTATTTCTTTTTCAATTCTATGGGGGGGAAAATCCATCCACCACAACAATTCAGGAGTTTAACCCATGCTGTGATGTAAACCTCCTGGCAATACTGCACAGTGTGATCATTTCGAGCAGCACAGCGGTCCTCAGGAAACCCAACACATAACTGCTGTCTGTTGGACATGATACAATAAGGTTTTTGGATTGGTATTTCTTTAGCCTGTGTTTCAGAATATTTGTACAGGTTTACAAATTGTTGTTTGGCTAACTATGCACAATGACATCAAACGTGAATGCAACAGTAGCTTCTTGAATGACAGAATGAAAGATCGCTTTAATGACGATATCCAGAGCATTTGCCAAACTGCCTTCTGGTCACCCTGACCATGCCAGCCCCAGACCACCTACTACGTTATAAGTCTGCTTTCTAATAATGGACAGCCACCAGCTAGGTGGGGCAAACAAGCCAGGGTACTGAAATCCTGCAAAAACAGACAAATGTGTGATACACGTAGGGAAAAAGGAGAACAAGTATCAATACCAGGAAAGTGCCTGAAAGCTCTCTGCTGTCAAGCATACTGAAACTGTTTTTAAAGTCACTTCTCCTTTTCCAAGGAGAACCAAGAACTTTCATTTTTAATCTCTGAGCTAACCCACAGCTAATTGATTAATATAATTAATCGCTGAGCTATACATTAACTGACCACTAGCGGGCATCTACTTTACTAAGAATTATTTGTGGTCTTCACGTACATAAGAGCCAATTCTGCTAAAACCATTTCTTCATCAGATCTTGATTATAATATTGTAAAGTTCCACAAGAAAAGCACCAATAACGCTTGCTAGTGGCAGAACATATTAATCGCCAAACCTCATTCATAAATGAACAGAAACAAAGGCTGTGACTCAGATCATGATTTGGCTGCCACAGCCGTTGAATAAAGACTGCTTCTACATGAGAGAGACTCAGCAGAGTCATCATAATGGAACAACATATCAAACTGTGAGATGCAAGCAATTGATGGCAAAGTGCAGTGGACTACAACGATGCATCAAGGAGCCTCAGCGAGCACCTATACCGATAAAGCACACTACATTTATTTTACCGCCCTTGAAACTTCCTTCAAATGAAAACAGCTTTATTAATCTGCAAAAATATTCTGTCTTAAGATCACTTTGAAGAGGACAAAAGAAGAAAAAAAAAAAACCACTAGACAGAGGATGTTTTGCCTCGTAATATGAAAAAGCAGCACTTTGGGATTAACTGATTTCAGAGCTTTGTTTAATGAATGGAGAGGAGTTCAAGTCTTTTCCCTGCATGAATGGATAGATCCCATCAAAGAGATTACTCCAATCTCTTGTTAGTTATTTTCAAATGAGGGCACTTTATGGGAAGCTGACGTTCATTTGTACTCAAGATGGCATCTTGCTGTTTTGTTCTTGCTCTTTAGAAGTCGACACAGTTTTCCACACAAACATATTTTATGTTGTCTTAATGGCAAAATGTGTCTTTATTTAATAGGAGTTGCATGCTACAAAATAATTGCTCTATTAAAACGAGTTTCAGTTGTGCACGTTTTCTAAAAGATTTCCTGTTTGTCACAGAGGGCCTCACAGCAGACAAACCACAGCATTTACATCCGCACTGAAACGGTTTGTACAGCTTAAAGGCATACACCAGCAAACTGTACTCATGAGGATCAATTAATTTGCCACAAGAAATATCACTTAGCACTTGTACAGTATCCTCCATTTCTCTGAATTTAACCTTGTCAAGTCTGTGAAAGTAATCCCGAGGTTGTTAGACACGTCATCGGGGATATTTTAGCCTTACAGAGTTTTGTACATGCAGATACTGCAAAGGATATTTAGGCCTTATCTTATACAAATGTACCACTGAATAAACCGACTATTGTTTAATGAACCATTATTTCTTATCATTTTCCATAGCGATCCCATTTGAAACCTAATGTAATAGAAATGGACTGACATGTAGATCGTGCTTTTCCAGCCTGAAACGACAAGTCATATTTAACCATACATTCCTAAAGTGCTTTGGTCTATAGACTTCTTTTGCCTTAAATCGACAACCAAGTTAGAGTCAATGACTGACTTAACGTGCATGTCTATGAGCTGGTGCAGGACATGGAGGAAGCCCATGCAATTACAGAGACAGCTTGCAAACTTTGTACATAAAGGCCCGTAGCGATCAGGACAGTGAAATCTGAAAACCTCTTAGATTTAGGTGACAGTGCTACAGAACATCTCAGTTTAAAATAGATAATTATCTGCATCTACTATATGAAAAAGCTTTCACAAAGCCTGCAATAAACCGTCTCTGACTTAAATTTATTTCATACAAAAATATGAACTATTCTGGGAGAACCAAGTTGTTGAATTTCATGCAGTTGCCCTTTGACACATGTAGCACACGGCTGCTGATAGTTTGCCTTAGCTGGGTGGTTTAGGTGAAGGTGCATTATCAAGGACGCGTGACAACCCCTCGCTCACTGGTAATTAACTGGAAAGTTATCTGCCCTATTCTTACATGGCCCCATATGGGCATTACTCAGACTTCGTACCAGTCAGGGGGCAGATTAAAGACATTTTAATCTCCATCAGGTAATGTCCTCAGAGGACTGCGGAGGGAGTGAAAGTGAGGAGAGCTCAACATCCACGACTCACAGAACAGAAATGATTGCCGTTTATCTTCAACACCAGCAGTTTTTTGTAGACAAAAACACAGAACGGCTTTCAGGCAGCAATTCTTATATCGTAAGAGTAGAAAGATAGACAACTTTGAGATTTCAAAACTTGCATACAGCTGACAGATCAAAAAGCGCAATCCTGGACACCAAACCCACTGCATTGTAATATAACCTTCCTGGAAAACTAACACACAGTATTACTCTTCAGTCAGATATAATACTCTGTTTGGCTGTAACAGAGAATCCCCTTCCCATTCCACATTCACACATAACTCAACACTCCCTCCCAAGCCCTTCATTAAAATCCCATCAGGCATATCATATCCAACTCTACATTTAATATTCACCAAGTGAAACTTGAACATGCCTTCCCAAGAAACAAAGCCTTTATTGTCTTCTCGAAAAGCCTCCTCAAACCAAAGAAATTCAGTTTCCATCGATCCGCGGACGCCACATCACCACTTTTCAGCCCTGCTTTAAATTACATGAAAGTTTTTCTCTGTTATTGTTCGACTACAGCCAAGACCCTGACAATGCTGCAGAGGGAAAAGGAAGCAGGAGGTGAAGGAGAGATAGAAGAAATGAGTAAAATGAATCAGTGCGTGTTCAGCATGTAATTAGCGCAAATGAGCCAAACTGTTTAAACGCTGTGGTCGATGACTGACACTTTGAAATTTGTGCATTTTGAGGATTTTACAGCACCCCCCTAAAGACTTACTGTGAGGCTTTTTAGCCTTTATTTTTGAGATGACAGTAGAGTAGACAGGAAAGAAAACAAAGAGTGGGGGTTGGGGAGAGAGCAGCAAATGGTCAAGATGCACTCAAACCTGGGCCCCGGCAAAAGCAATATGCTGCTTAACCCAGTATCTGAGGATTTTACAGCTGGACATAACTTTCTTTTTTTCTGGATTCAAACAGTTCATCAGATAAATGGTTTAAAGTGCATGCAACTACAAAGCTACAAAAGTTTCTAGCCTCATAGAAAGGAAAGACAGAATTATGAAAAACTTTTTGCTAGTATCCTCTGAAGCGAGAGAGTATTTAACTTTGTTGCACTGAGGCTCATCAGAATGCCAAAATAACCAAGGACATGGTCTGCAAATTACTCGTGGCTAGAATTCCTACATATATTGCATTGGTTGAATTTTTGTTTACATGCAGCAATGTTAATAAGCAGCATCTCTGTTATAATAAAATACAAACACAAGACTTGGTTTATGTCTTGGACTCACTTGAGTTTTTAAAAATCTACTGAACTTTACATTTTCAGATCTTGATTACCTCCCTGAAAGTTACTTGTTAAAGAGTCAGATTCTTTACTCTAAGTGAAGCGTTTAATGTCTGTTGACGAAAAAGAAAAATTCTCTGGGAAATCTTGATTAGCTCTTATACTTAAATCACTGATAAGGCCACTTTCATTCAATTAATCTTAATAATGAGGGTAAATGTGCATCACAGTTTGAGATTCTCCTTTTTCTTCCTGTGTTCAAAAGCTCTCCAGTCCCTCCTGAGGGGAGGTGAACCCCGGTTAAAAGGAAGATCAGGTTTGTTGTCGCACTCACACAGCTTTTTAACATCATCTGCTTTCTGAATGCTCTGTTATGTTTTTAAAAGTCATGGTTCCCATGAGTCAAATCCCCTGATCCTTTCCTTTCCCATGTGTGTGTGTTTGTGTTTTTCTGTTGCTGTCCTCATCCCTTCCTCTCTTCTTAAACCAGAAATGACATTTCCAGAGGTGGCGTCTCGCTCTCGAGAGGAAAAGATCGTTAAATTTTATGCCAGCTGCTGTCTAGAGTTCAATAGATAGACCAGAGAGAAGAAGGAAGCCACAAGAGTACACAGTAATAGAAGTGTGGGGTTAATATACGCACAATTTAGCATCCTCTAATAATTTAATGGAATGTTTCTATGCCAAATATCAGTTAAAGAATTTAAAAAGATTTTCATCTTCAGGCAAAATTGCATTAAAACCCA